TGAAGAGTATTGGTCCAAGGACTGAGCCCTGCGGGACCCCACTGCCCACGTCCTTCCAGGTTGATACTGACCCATCCACCACCACTCTCTGGGTACAACCCTCTAGCCAATTTGCCACCCTCCAGACTGTGTAATCATCCAAGTCACAGCCTCTTAATTTGTTCACCAGTATGGGGTGGGATACCATATCGACAGCCTTCCTGAAGTCTGAGTAAACAATATCAACTCCTACTCCTGCGTCCAGGTGTTTTGTAACCTGCTCATAAAAAGAGACTAGATTAGTCAGGCATGATCTACCTGCTACAAACCCGTGATGGTTTCCCCTCAGCATAATTTTTCCTGCTGGGCTCTCGCATATATGAGCCTTAATAATCTTTTCAAAGAAAAAGGTTGATCTAAATGCCCCATCATGTTGGTGTACAGAGGGGTTAAATAGAGCAAAAAGTGGTGCGCCCAATATAAATTAGATAACATGGGTAGGTGCACTAACTTAGATCAAGATCAGGTTAACCTGATCTAGGAAAGGGTTAACCTAGTTTCACAAAAGGCAGCACACATTTGCATCACAGCCCCAGGGATGGAAAAGCCCAGCCCTAAGGCTGTGCTAATCCTATCCCCTCCCCTGATTGGGTTTACCCCTGGCAAGCTCCCTGGGGACCTGCCATGCCTCACCCTGGACCTGCCACCATGCCCACACCACTAGACCTGCTAACCTTTTGATCCCGCCCAGCTCTCTGCCCACCCAGGGCTCAGAAGTAGTGAACACCTGTACACATGGCTCCCAGAAGCAGCAAACTGCTGCATGCACCTGCTCCCAGTCTAGGTGTAGGCATCTCAAATAAAGTCACCTACACCTAGACCAGGTGCAGTGAATGCTTATTCACACCCATAAGAGGGTGCAGAAGGGCAGCTTGAAGCAGTGTCCCTGGTGTTTGGAGCATATGAGCAGGTGTACTCAGGTAGATCCCAGATGTTCCTGCTATAGTATAAGTAGATCCTGAGAGACTAGTATCTGGAGATTTATTTCTATTCCTGGGTAGTCAAACAACTCATCAACTCACTTCGTCAAAACTGCATGAGCTTCCAAACACTGGGACACTGAAATTCATTGGAAGGGAGAGGTGGGGCTTCATTTTTGCTGGACTGGCCTATCACATCTATCAATGTTATTATCATATTATGGTGGCTGAGCTATTCAAATGCTTTGAAAGACTGTTTGTCATTGCTGCATTGACTTCAGTTATCTTAAGAGGAGCTAATTTCTCTAGAGTTTTTCTAGTTTAGGTAAGAGCTGTCACATGCTAAGTGACCCTTCAGTTGTGCCTCATTCGTATCAGGAGCACACAATAGTGCAGTCCTAACTATGTTAGCAAGTCATCTTTAGCAATACTCAGGTTTATCTCATATCCACTGATGGGCCAGCTGGCTTGAGTTAAAAAGAACCATTTAAATCAAGATAGAGACTTTTATGTGCAGAAGTGAGTTGGGTTAGGTCAAAATTAGAGTTCTGATGACAAATGCCTTCTACCTAGAGATTGTTCAGAAACAGATGTATTAGCAGTAATTAAGCCTTAGCATAGAATCTCCTCTTCCTGTCAGGAGCTTTGCACTTTTGCCTTTCAGTTTTTATTGCATTCATCACACCCTCCAGAGTTGGAATAATCCATAGGTTTGATCCTGAATGAGGTCACACCAAAGAAATACCTAATTATAAACTTACATAGAGGAAAAGATGGGGATGCAGAGTTGCTTTTGTGTGTTTGAGGCTATGGACAAATTAGCAAATTAGTGCAAGTTAAAAGAGAGGTGAGGGGGTGGGACTTACTATGAAACACCTGATGCATGATATTTTGTATGTTGAATGAAAAGGCAAGATTATTTTCACATCAAAATAGTTCAATACAATTACCCCAAACATTTCTCTCTCTGTTGGCTTCCTTGCAGAGCAGGTCAGCAGTAGATGAAAAGCATTGCCAAGAAGGGGAAAACAAAGAAAAAAATCCTTTGTGAAATTAAACAATGCCTCTGTTTTGGTTCTTGGGATCCTTTCATAAAACCCACTACTACCTCATACTCCAGCCATATGCTGAAGAAATGACTTTTCTGATGACTGGCTTGGTACCAGCATTCAGCATGATGTCTCATCAGAAGTTTGTCTACTTTATGTATGTCCATGCTTGTAAAGCTCCCTACTCCACAAATTCTAAAGCCATGGAATGAATTAGGTCTTGTATCCTCTCATCTCTACAAGTGGTCCCTCCAGTTAGTAGCTGATGCACAACTGAGGACATGACATGAGGGCTCTTATCCTTTCTTTTCTAACTCCTGCCACAGACTTTGTCATCTTTGGCTTTCAGTACCTGGACACTACAAAATGTCCTTTGGAATTGCAGGTGTTCTGTGTAGTGTTGCAGATCCTTGTACTACATTTGGCTTTTCAAACTAGTGTTATGGCTTTTGTGTCTCTTCTGTTGAAACCTTTAAAAGTCTTTAAACCACTATGTGTACACAGTACCCTATTCTAGTTTGGCTATAGATTTGGCTGACTATATTTTCTTCAGATTGCTACCTGCAGACTGTTACCTGCACAAGTATTTCCCATGCACAAGGCATTTTTAATGGTGAAACAGCATTGCACTTTTAAAGCTCTTTTCATCATGAAAAAATCCCCATACCACTTTCCATACTAGGGGTTATACTATCACAGTGAAAACCCATCATTGGATGACAAGGAACCAAACAGCATTCCCTTCTTGAATTTTCTTTTTACTTAGGTGTTTCCTCTAATTTGGGGAACCATAGACACAAGTGTGGAATTTGGTTTTGAACTCTCTGGACGTGTCTACACACATCTCTTTTAAATGGGATTAGCTTAAAATTGCCATTTTTAAGGCATATTGAGGGCATATGTCCACATGTGTGCAGCCTTAATGCACCTTAAAAATGGCAATTTTAGGCTAATCCTGCCTAAATTTGATACCTGCATAAAGCAAGTATCAAATTTAGGCATGATTAAGTCGCATTAGCCCACGTGTAGAGGATTAATGCACATTAACACGGTGTGCGTCAATGGACACAAGCTAATGCAACTTAGCTAATCGCACCTAAAAGTTAATGTGCATTGGTGTGTCTACATGTAGATGCACTCTTAAATCATCTTAATTTGCCTTAAGCAAATACATGTGTAGTCATGCCCTCTGGCATGTTCCTTTGTATGGCATCATAGCTCCCTTCTTTCTGACAGCACAGCACTTGAAGGGTGTCTTTGCCCTCAGTAGTCATGCAATAGAATCTGCAGAGTGGACTTGGATGGTGAAGATATTGTTATATATAATATATATTTTTTATTATCATTATACTCCCTGTGATGTATAGCTTCTTGTATACATAATTAGACGAGCAAGTGGAAAAAGCATGTATCGGGGGACAGCTTTCTTTCTTTTTGCAGCCTGAAATATACACATTTAACCTTCGTGCTCCCATTATTTGATCTTATGTTCAGCAACTACCATCCTTCCATGCATAACCAGCCAGAATTTATATGTGGATGAAAGACAGGTGGCATTCTTGCCTTTGGGGGCTAAATGTGCTGCTTCTGCAGAGCTGTTGCTGATCTGGAGCATGAGTGACTGGGAATAGAAACTGGTGAAAAGAAATATTCCAAACAGCAAAATTAAAATACTTAGCAGTGTGTTTCCAAGGAAAAACAAACATGCTTACAACTAAACACAGCAATTTTGTATGTATTGCATACCATATTATTTGAAACAAAGTATGTATTTAATTTTTTGATTTGTCAAATGAAAGGATTTATCTTAGTTTCATAGTTTCTAGGGTCAGAAGGGACCTGAGCAGATAATCTAGTCTGACCCCCTGCCATGGCAGGAAAGAGTACTGGGGTCAAACGACCCCAGCAAGGTGTACATCTAGCCTCCTCTTAAAAACCCCCAGGGTAGGAGCCTGCACCACCTCTCTTGGAAGTTGGTTCCAGATCCTAGCCGCCCTGACCGTGAAGTAGTGCCTCCTGATATCTAACCTAAACCTACCCTCTGCCAGCTTGTGACCGTTA